ATAGATATTTGAAATATATATACGAATATTAATATTAGTATTATGAGATTATCTATCTACCTACCTACCTATCTATTATCTTGTTTATTTATCTATCTATCTATTTCTTGCTATATTATATTTATTGATATTCAGCATAGTATAGCATGAAATAGGTAGGTATATGATATATAATATTCATAGTATTTGTTTGTACTGGGATTGGGAGATGAGAGGGAGGTAGATGAGTAGATAGAGATTAGATAGATGAATTATAAACGGGGGTAATATTATATTATATCATATATTATATTATTTAGGTATTTAGGTAGACGATTTGATTATAAAATCGAAAATATATATATCTATATATACCTATACATATTTATACATCTCTATACATAAACCCCGTCCTAATATCTCTAAGCCCCGGGCCCTTCTCGATCTGAATCCAAAAGCTATTCATTGATAATTCAATTCTCAAGAGCTCTCTTTGGTTTCTTTAAATCTGTTACCTATATACCTGTATACCTATATTCTCTCAACCCTCCATTCTCGTATCGAGTTATCGAGTCATCTGTCTAGCACTTTCTTTCACGGAATGGAACAGAATGAAAATCTAGATACTTGTGTAAAGCCATCTACTACCCATCTATTTCTAAACTTCTCACCTCTCACCTCTCACATGAATCCTATATATCATTTAACTTAAAGCTCTACCTAACTCTAAGGCTCTAGAATAACTTAATTTAAATCAAAGACGAATAAGTATCTATCGTACATACTATCATATTATACTATATAATTCATTCATTCATATATTCATATATACATACCTATTACTCTCCCCACTCCTCGAGGTGGAAAGAAAAAATATTCTATTCTTTATTCACCCCTTTTCGCTTTCATTCCCTTATCCACGTCCACCTCCTGGTCCTCTGCTGCTTTCTTATCCTCCGTGCTCTAGAATCATCATACCGTCACTAGGTATTTCATTCATATCGTTCTTATGGAAATCACATCTACCAAAGAAAAATATACAAGACGGGATGGAAGAACTTTCTTTTGATCAAGTATATCGGAAATCCGAGTCGAAGTCTCGATTCAATCTTGAGTCTCGACGATCTCTAAATCATGAAATGGTGTTGATGTTAGACGGGGTAGGTATGTGAAAACACACATATATATCCAAAGATAAAGAAAAGGAACCGAATAAAAATCCCAAGTCAGAAGGCGTGGGGAGATATAATATATACCTTGAAACTTATATTCCACATTGATATACTGACTCGTGGCCAGTCCTTAGCCACGACCATACAATCATACCTTCTACTTTGACTCCTCACTCCTCACTCCCGTGCCTTCCTCTTCCTCATTCTTCTCAAATCGTCCAACTAACCACGCAATACATCCACTTTAATCTACCCATCAACCAAACTCTCATCAAAAAGAAGAAAAGAAATCCAAAAATGCCACCCCATATTCCCGCTCACCCAAAATCTCCAAAAAGGTTCCACCGCGTCCGATGTACATCCTTTATCCCCCAAACCCCACAAACTCGAGTCCTCAAGCCCACAACACCCCTCGAGTAACTACAAACATATAAATGTGCAAGTATGACGAATTGCCCATCTATATACTAGGTATACACACAAACCCCAAACCCCACGCAACACAAGATACTCCACAGATACCTACCAGCGGGCCCCTCTAGTAGGTATCTGCGTCTCACGACGGTCTACTCCCCTTGGTTGCATAAATGTAAAATTATGACGAATTTAACATTTATTATGCCACTGCGCCATGGACACAGGGCGAGGGGAATGGGTTATGAGGATTTATATTGGGGTGTGTGGGAGAGGTGAGAATGGAAGGTGTGGTGGTAGAGGAAGGAGAAGGGTGGGTGGTGCCTTCCAGAGTTGAGGGAATGAGGGATTTGGATTTGTGGGGTTGTGGCTTGCTGAATTGTGATGGATATGATTGAATGAAGGAATGAAATGGGTGATATGGTGTTTTGGAGAAAAAGAACCCGAGAGTGGTTGTGTAGAGGAATTGTACAGGATTGAATTGATTTTCCATTCATTTGAAATTATTATCTATGCCTAGGTATGTAGCAGCTTTTTTGGAAGATATTATTTCGGATAATCCAAAACGAAATAGTCGTGAGCCGAGCACTTTGAGTTCAGTACTTCTTGTTACCTAGGTGTTATCTTTAATCTATTTCCACTCATGAACAGATCTTTGAAGGGAATTCAGACATTTGATAACATTTCTTATGTGTGAGAGATATGTTGGCTCAGGCTTGCCTTTACTACTTCATAAACGTCCGTGTTTGAATCCAACGGCATTCTATGATTTCTCTCTGGTTACCACCTCTACATGAATGCAAAGATTTAAACACGCGAGAAGAAAATCACATATGAATGAGCTCCCGTTGGTACACTAAACGATTCAGCAGTATCTGGTTCTTCATCATAGCCGACGGAAGATATGAAGGTGAAAAGAAATTTGTGAGGATATGTGAATGAAACTAATTTGTATATGTGAGAAATGTTATGAAATTAATGTAGTCCCTTTCGTTCTTCCAATTTCCATCTTTGCTGTTCGGGCACCGAATTGTATCTGGTGATGTAGGTATTAGTCCAGAAATATGAAATCGGTAGGTAACACTTACAGCACGTTTTTTCTCGGTAGCAACTGATGTCATACCCAAATCATGAGCCAAGAGTCTTAACACTTTCTTACCCGGCTCTATATCTGGTGTCTCAGGACCTCGCAATTCAGATGTAAACCCACATTTATCCCATATAGGAGACTCGACAGCCCACTTGACTAAGTCTTCATCTAAGTATGGGAACCGAGCTTCTCTTCCCCAATGTGAGATTACACGATCATCTCGACCGAGATTGCGTTTACCAAGTCTATTCACATCTAATTCTAGTTCGTCTAAGAGAGCAGAGAAGCCATTCCGATTGAATGCGGTTGTATGTCGTGTATAACCACCGAACAATTCATCTGCGCCGAGTCCAGAAAGAAGAACACGCGCAGGTGTCGTGTACAGGTTTTCTTCTGTATCAGTGGCTTGCGATGCTAAACCAACACCGCGAGATGCAAAGTATAATGCAAAGGCTATTGATAGATCCATTTCGGTATTATGTGGATGTATCAATTCTACAATTTTTGCTCTGTGCTCCATTGTTTCTGTATAAGGGACATTTATCTGCTTCATGTCAACTCTTGAGTACCAATGTCGAGTTAGTTTATCGACTCACTGCAACAAATCTCCATGTTCGATCAGGACAAACGATTTGAAGCTCTTGATGAGCTTTCCTCCCCGTTTCTCTATCAGGACAGAGCTCATATGGGGAAACTTTCTTATCCAATATTTGAGTTGTATCCGGAGGCGGAGGTTGTGCCCCTTTCTTCAGCCGAGGTCCGGTTTGTGCAGCTTTAATGACACGAGGATTTTCAAATGCAACATTGAGAAGATCAATCTCTTGATCTGATGGTAGTAAATCGTGTGCCAATCTTGCCAAAACTGTGCAATCTAGTCCACCGGAGAATAAAATCGCAAGTCTGACATTGTGAGAGTGACCTATACTTGGAGGAGTAGGAATAGTCAAAACCCTAGGTTTCAGAGACTCACATAAATAATGTCGTAATGACATCACTGATGGGGAATCAAGGCCGAGTATATGACTTTCATTTTCAACATTTTTGTTAAACTTGCCAAGTGAGGGAGCCTGCAAATTTTAAGTTAGTACTGACTTGATCGGAACAGAATCGTAGCTAAACGACAAAGTATTTGAGCATTATAAGGAACACCCACCGACGAATCAGTCTCTGGATCCTCCCAATCGAACTTTTGATATGGCAATAGTGATCCCGAAAGAGAATTATCCTGTGAATGAGACATTGATGAAGGAAATGTATTCTTATCAACACAGGAGAATTTGTAAATGCCATCTGCTTCAATTTCTTTCCAATCGCCTTTGGCGGGATCCGCTGTACTTGCAAACTCTATAGATCCAGCTGATCCCAGAACTCCGGATTCATTATCAATATTGTAAAGGAGAGATCTGCGACCAAGGCGATCTCGGCCACAATATATAGAACCGTGAAAGCTATCCCAGAAGACAAATGCAAAAGGTCCAGAGATGCTTCGTAAACTCTTGACCACAGCAAGTGTCGCATCTGATGCCGAGGTAGCTATTGAAACAGCTTTTACAAGCATCTCATATATAACTTGACCGTCATTACCATTAACAAGTCCACCACCAACCTTCCATGCCTCACCATTCCAGCAAAGGATTGAGCCAGAGTTGGTAGCAGACGCGTCAACACCCGTTGAACCATCAAATGGTTGTGGAGTGACATGATCCCCCCTCAGAGCTAAGACAGTTGATAAAAAAGATAAGAAGTATTGTGTTCCATCACTTGAAGTATAATTTGATTGTGACAAACCTGTGTGATCAGGACCTCTGTCGCAAAGAGAGTGTTTCAAAGCATGACTCGGGGTTTGCAATCCTCGCGTGGATATCGACGCGTAAATACCACACATTTGCGAACTTGTTAGACTCGTAAATTCCTAATCGACCACATCCATTTACTTCGTGGATAGAACAGATTACCAAGGTATTTTCAAGGTTGTGCTGTCGTTTGATGTTTGACTTTACGTTGGATAATGATATTGATAAGGATCAAATTGACTTTGAAATTTATTTTTAAGTTCTACCTTGGGCTGCACCACGGATCGTCATTTTAGCGAATCGACCAGATTACTTCACTGTCGAGGGTCGAGGAAACTTAGCAACCAAGATAATTGATTATCTTGTCCAATAAAAGAAGAGAAATAATAATTTCGATGCCTGGCTCTCAACGTCCTTCTTAAAATACTTGAATACATTCTGCGAATCTACGAATCCTCTTCTCGAAGCTCCAAGATACCCTGGACCTTGAAGCTCGAATACCCCGCCTATCCTACAATTACACAAACGCCGATCAGAGGCGCTCGCGGATGTATGTCGTCTCCCAGACAGTCGGCAGAAGTTGTTCAGATCCCAGATGGACTATCACAGGGGCTCGCATCGACGGTGAGCTTGAATGAAAAGCTTGACAATCACAACTCTGAGCCAGCCTCGCCAACCAGTAAGGACATGGAGGACCAGGATGTTGGCAAAGAGACACCGTTGGCAGACGGAAGCGAGCCAGCAGAAGCCAATTCTCATACGACACTAGATAATGCTTTGGATTCACTGAAAGATAAGGGAAAGGGCAAAAGTACGGAAGGAAACACTGTGGACGAGCTACGGACCGCGACCAACGAAGAGCCTGTACCGCAAGATATGGAATCATCTACTGCGACTTTGAAACCCGTTCAAACCCGACCCCCGAACATTTCTACGCAGAACATGTCACTAGTTGATCAAACGTATCTGGATCCTACCCCAAAGACACCTGGCACCTCTCGGCCTCCTTCACGATCTGCGTCGACTGCAAGAACACATCATCTACACGCGGAAGGGTTGGATAGATCACCTACGAGATCTGACGCAGGTTTCGACGAAAAAACCAGCGCAAGCGAGGACGAGCGAGAAGGAGGGTCTAGGTCAGAAATACAAAGCATAATGGATCAATTTGGCGAGGACGGACAAGGCCCAGGGCATGAAGAAGTTATGTCTCCTCGTCTTGAGTTTGCTGGCCCGCTTCTTGGCAGTCCAGTACAACACCCACCTCGCAAATCGAGCCTGGAACCCTTGAATGCAAATATTCTAAGCCAGAGTATAGGCGATTTACAAATATCATCAGCTCCTTCATCAGGTCAACGAACGAGGAACGACTCTGACGTCGGCCCAGCTGTCCCACCGAAAGCAGAATCTATACGTAGCTTTGGTAAAATGCAGGACGATCGTTATTCCTCCACAGATACTCCATTATCACCCCCTCCTTTGCATCGGCCCCCACCTCCCGAGCCAGAACCTGAACCGGACCTACCTTTCGATTTTCATCGATTCTTGGAACAGCTAAGGCACAGAACGGCGGATCCTGTGGCAAAGTTCTTACGGTCGTTTTTACAGGAATTCGCAAAGAAACAATGGATGGTACATGAACAGGTTAAAATAATAGGCGATTTCTTGGCTTTTATCACCAATAAAATGGCCCAATGCGAGGTATGGCGTGAAGTTTCGGATGCAGAGTTTGATAATGCGCGTGAAGGCATGGAAAAATTAGTTATGAATAGGCTATATACCCAGACTTTCTCTCCGGCAATTCCTCCACCCCAGCCTATCCCAGGTGCAAAGCCAAGAAGACGGGGTGCTGATCGACCCATGGGTCCCGGTCGAAGAGGACAACATCAAGAAGATGTCGAGAGAGATGACATTCTTGCTCAGAAAGTCAGCATTTATGGTTGGGTGAAAGAAGAGCATTTAGATATACCACCAGTTGGCGACAGTGGAAAACGGTTCTTAATTTTGGCACAACAAGGTAAGATTGGAATTCATGAAGGTTGATATCACTGCTAATCAAGTCACTAGAAATTTTGAAGATCAAAACCTACAGAGCTCCACGGGACAAGATAATATGTGTTCTGAACTGTTGCAAAGTGATTTTTGGTAACTCCCAAAGCAGGTTAATTTATTGAACAATCTTACTAAATTCAATCAGGGCTACTCAAACATTCAAAAACAGATTCATCGGCAGATTCATTTATGCCTCTCCTAATCTACGTTGTCCTTCAAGCAAACCCCGAGCATCTTGTATCCAACGTTCAATATATTCTTAGGTTTAGAAATCAAGAAAAGCTAGGAGGAGAGGCAGGATATTATCTTTCATCTTTGGTTAGTCACTTCAAGCAGATTTGCGCATTACAAAATTAACTCCTTCGAAGATGGGCGCTGTCCAATTTATCGAAAACCTGGACCGAACAACTCTTACAATAAGCGATGAGGACTTTGAACGAAATGTTGAAGCCGCTGTATCCGCCATTGCCGAAAAGCATCAAGCTGAAGTCGCTTTAAGTCCTGTCCAAAACAGTCCGCCAACACAGCTTTCTGAGAAATCTACTCCTAGCCGCCCCGAAGTAACCCCTCGACATTCCATGGAAGGCGAGTCGTCAGCCCCCAGAAGATCAACATCATCAAGCGAGTATGAAGCTGGGGATAGCGTAGACGAGAAAGCTGCCATGAGCGGTCTGCTTCGTACTATTCAGAAACCACTTTCTTCCATCGGAAGAATGTTCTCGGACGACCCTTCCCCTTACAGTGGGCCCGCGAGGACCCCTAATCCGGGGAATACGCCGCGAATGACTCCATCGCCACGAGTAAGCATGGACGGGCTTCGGCCCCCACACCGGAGGCCTAGTGAACGTGAATCAAACGCTAGAAATAGGATGACAGCTGAGGATGCAGCTGCAAGACAAGCAAGTGCAGAGGCTGCAGAAGCACATCGTCTTCAGCGTGCAGAGCACGAGAATGTTGTAGAGACTCTTGCAGGAATGTTTCCAGATTTAGACAGGGAAATTATTAGTGATGTGGTTACTCAAAAAGAGGGAAGGTGAGGATTAGCCCCTTCAAGAAGACTCCCCTAGAAGTTGTCATACTAATTGTTAATTTAGGGTTGGTCTGGCAGTCGATGCATGTCTTGCCCTCAGTTCTTGAACAACAGGACACGAAAACAGTTTATTATCATATTATCGCGTTTAATATCCACAGGTTTTATGCATTCAGCGGGTGGAATCATAGCGTTGCGTGGTCGCATTGGCGTTTTCCTCGTGTTGAATCTTCTGGTATATCCCTAGCGCAATTCGGCCTCAGAAGATCAGTAGCGAGAACGAAAGTAGATGTTTTATATAGTCGTAATTACTTTGTCCGAAATAATGAAAGATGATTATGAAAGCCTGGCCGTACTTTCATATTGAATATACTTCAGATGGAGATCAAAGAACCGTATATACCGTCTGAAAGATGGACATATATTTCATAGCGTGCAAAAATCTCGGTTGAAATTGCTTGTGCTATCAACCAAATTTTGTCTCGGGAGGTATTTTGGTATTACCATGATTTATTCATTTCCTATATAACTGAGGATATATATTAATCATGGCCAAGAAGAAGAATAAGAGCCAAAATAATGGCGATTTCCCAGAAATCCAGGTTCCCGCGGCTTCTGCGCCATTACCAGCATCAACTACATCAACAAAGACGAAAACAAAAGATACCAAGCCCACGCAACAACCCTCAACATCTGCTCTTATTATTTGTCGCAACAAGTATGTCAATTGTTTACAATATCGTTTCCCTATTGCACAATTATGCGCAGATGTCATGGCTGTTTTGCAGATGCCATGCCTGAACTCATGAGGCGAAATTGTGCATCATCATTTTTTTCCAATTTGCCTCAATGCGCGTCCCGCATTATATTTAAACCATCCGACTAACATTTTCCTCGCAGACATTGGCGTTATATCTCTTCTTTCCATGGACCATGGCTACAATTGCCCCCTGAAGTTCTCGAAGCTCTCGCGAATAATAATTATGCCCTTCCTCGACCCCGACCGATCGACCCCGCGGTCTTCTTCGATATCCTTAAAATCCGACAGCTTGTTGACGATGCCACGAATCTCGCAGTGCGCGCCGCCAGTGGTGTAACATCTTCTTCTCTCTCGAACTCCTTGAATGCTGGGAATGGCTTATTAGGCAATGGGGGGACGGCGCTGGGCCTGGGGATTGGGGGAGGAGGGGGGAACGCGAAATTGAGTAAGGAACGAAAACATCGAATGCGGGAACAGGCTACACAAAAGTTATCCAAGGCATATCATTTGGATGAGATCGCATGTAGCGTCGCGACGATGCAATCTGCTTCCACACTGGAGGATGTGGCCCAGCTTGTCCTTCAGAGAAATCCCAATGATTCGGATGCCAAATACGTTCACTTTTTTCACGAGAAGATTCCTTCGCGGCAGCTGGCAGAATGTACAAGTTTAACACCATTGGATGAAGTAATAGCAGATAGGCCGAGTGAAGGCGAAATACTAAGGACTCGAGCCGTTACAAAGATATTTAAGGAGGATTTTGTGGGAGCGGCGCAAGATCTTACTTCTGCTTTGTCAGTCTGTAGATATTATCAGAATCAGCATAAGGCAGGCCGACAGCAAATACAGCTAGCAAGTGAAGCCGCCGCCGAAGCTCAGCGAAACAATGGTGGTAGATGGAGAGACGAGTTTAAGTTAGATGAAGAGGACCACCCGAGTAGTCTTGAGACCCAACTTCTGTTTCACCGTGCCGGTGTTTACTTAACTATTGCATGCCAACACGTTAATGCTGCTCTACCACCTTCGCCCCACCATCACGGTGACTTATTTACATTCGAGGCTGTAGACAAAGCCATGAATAGTCCCTGGCCCACCAACGGAGCGACAAGTAATGAAGACACAAGTAATGGAGAGAAAACTAATGGAAAGACAAATGGTGTGAATGGCACGTCAAATGAAGAGCCCGAGCTATCCGCAGCTGATAAAGAAGCACATCGAAAACGTCTGGAGGCACGGAAAGTTGTGAAGACAAATGCAAAGAGGGCTTTAAGAGATTATGTAGCATATCTGTCGCATCTGGACTACACCCCTGGTCTTCCAGCTGAGATCACGGAAGAATTCGTTCGCAAGGTCAATTTAGCTGCGAATGGTTACAAAATTCCTCGACCACCTCAAAGCAAGCATAGTAAGCGGGGCCTTGATTTAGAAAGCAACGCGTCACTGAGTAACGGACAATTGTCTGATGCACTCGTACCTCATGTTGGCCATAACGGAAGAAGTCGTCCTCAATCTAGCACTTCTCGACCACCCGATTTGCCTTCTTTACCTCCGCCGAAGGTCTATCAAATCTCATCTCTATTCTCTTCTACTCCACCAGCCGATCTTCCTCCTTACCCAGAAACAGCCACAGCTCTAATAACTAAGCAACAACTTCGCGCATCCCAATCTGAGGCAGCCCAGCACATACTCGCCCAGGCCGATTGTCATGAAGCCCTCACATACCACCCCCTTCTAACTGATGCCCTTCATTCCCTCTTACTTTGTCACTGTCTCGTGCAGACTTCCGCCCGTGAACTTCAACGCCACGCCCATATGGTTGCGCGACTTGCTCGTGTTTGCGACGGCTACCCCATTTTCCAAGCCTCAAGGTCGCCATCTCGGGCCGACTGGATTGAAGTGATTCGCCGTAATGACAATTGGATTTCTCTCGCCGCATCATGGGAAACTCTTTGCGCACCCGCGCCGTTACCAGGTCAAAGTCCGAGCAATCAACAAAAAGAGACAGCTGCGGAAAAGAAAGAGAGATTAAAGCAGCAAGCTATTATGGAAGCACTTGAAGATGATCGTGTCCATGATGAAGCTAGTTTTCATGCAGCAGTAGCGGCTAGACAGAGAAGACAGGAAGAGGAAGCTAGGAAGGCCGAGGGAAGAGAAATGCCTAAGAGATGGGCGCAGGAAGATGGAAAAGAGTATCCTATAAGTACTGATAGGGCTCAGGCGATTGTCCGATGGATCCGGGAAGCCCCTCCTGGAGGTGATGGTACTGGGCTAAAGAAGAAGAAAAGAGGTGTCAGGGGCAAGGGGAAGAGTAGCGTGAGTGGCCTTAATGGGTCAGAAGCCGCTACTCAAAACACAAAGCTTGATAGGGAGGGAGAAGGCAACGAAGAGTTTGAGAGGATTGAGGAGGAAGTCGACTGATTGTCTGTCTCAGTTCGCACTGGATACCAATTTGATACACAATTTTGGACATGCGGCAAATCACTATGAAATGAGGCAGTCAAAAATTTACAATTATGTGTATATATATTTGCGATTAGCGTGTCATCCAAGAGAAGTGACAACTCTTACCTTAGCGTACCTATTATGAGTTAAGAATGCATCAACCACAGCATCAAGCATAGATGTAATACTCCAGCTAAAAATTCCACAAACATCATCCTACGTTGAAAATAACAACAGGGGGGAATAGAAGAAGCGATCTACATTGCATATCACGGGCGCCCTTCACTCGACATCAATCTTATCCAATTTATCCGTAGAAGTCGTCTTGACCTGTTGTAGAACCATGGTATCGTACGTTTGGATTGACGTCGTATTTATGACGAAAGTAACGGTAAGCCTGTAGATCACGTCGGTGCCTGGCTCCTGGCTAAGTGCGGGGTTTCCTGTCGTCCTTATATTTTTGCATCGGTATTTATACCCAGGTGATATTGTAAACAAGAGATGGAGAGGAGTTCTATAAAAGGTGGTTTTCCCTTGTTTTACTTTGGGATAATATGTTGGTTTGTTGGTTTGTTTTTGGTTGTATAGTTATACTGAGATCCCAAATCACTGAGAGTACTGAATCTTTGAAGTGTTGAAAAACAATTACCATCAAGTACGAGCAAAATGGCGGGAAAAGTCGACCCCAATGATCCGAGGAAACTGACAGATTTTAAATTATTATCTTTTGATGTATATTCCACATTAATCGACGAGAAAGGTGCGTTTCTTGCTCCTCTCATTATCTGTTTTTACCATCATAGCAATGAACCATATCCTCATGAACACCAACTCCTCCCCCCTCCACAAACCCACCGAACGACTAACCCCCTCCTCTCCAGGTGGGCTCTTCACCGGTCTCTACCCCCTCCTCTCCCGACTCCCCGAACCCCTCAAATCGAGCTATCTCAATTCCCGCGCCTCCACCCTCCAAGCCTTCCAACACCACGAACACCAACTCCAAAAAACTCACCCCACACTCCCCTACCCCTCCATCCTACATCTCGCCTACCTTTCCTTCGCACAATCTCTCCCCTTCTCCCCTCCCCCCTCCCCCTCCACTCTCGAATCCGAAGCCCAGGAGTTCTCACAAAACATTCCAAACTGGCCCGCATTCCCCGATACTGTTTCCGCGCTGCAGAAATTGCATAAGTATTACAAACTGGTCATTCTGTCGAATATTAATGAAGAGTCTATAGAAGGGACGATCAGAAATAATGTGGATGTAGGATGGGATGCAGTGTATACGGCTCAAAGAATCGGGAGTTATAAGCCTGATTTGAGGAATTTTGAGTTTTTGATTGAGCATGTTGAAGAGGATTTGGGGGTGAAGAAAGAGGAGATTTTGCACACCGCGCAGAGTGAGTTTACTCTTCTTATTAAGTTGGAGGGCGAACTGGATGAGAAGGATTTGGAGAATATGTAAATGGGATGAACGCTAATGATGATGTTAATCTAGGCTTGCGAGCCGATCATGTGCCTGTGAAGAAAATGAAAATGACTGGAGTTTGGATTGACAGGGGAAACGAAGGTCAGGATTATGAGAAATTGAAGGATGAAGTCGCTTATACATGGAAGTTCAGCACTTTAGGAGAGATGGCTGATGCAGCGGAAGAGGCGTTCGAAGCCCAGGGAAACAAGGTATAAATACCGACATACAGAAGCAACATGCAAAGTATAATACTTGGGTCTCTGAATGCATTCCATGAGTAACTACGTAGTACAGTTTGTGACTTTAAGATTTGAATGATAGATATATATGTAAAGAACCCATGACACTGTACTGTGAAGTCGATCCCTTCTGTAAAACCCAACACTCAACACCTAACACCGAGTAATGATTTCGTAGCTCGTTTGCTCATCTCGATGTGGATATCAAATAAAATGGAAAATTGCAACAAAACATTCAAGCCCCGCGGGGGAGCGTGGCTATGATACAGACATTGTTTTCTACACTACTACTTATGATCGAAACCTAACCACAAAGGTTATTCATCAATTAGATTACTGTTCATATTTGATGGGGTGCTCATACTGTGGGACGTGATTCATAAAGTTGTTGATTTCCGTTAACCCTTCAGTCTCCAAGCTGTGCATCAATTCTGTTTGTTGTTCTTGACTCAAACTACCTGATCTCAGTCCTGCTTCGAAGTTGTCCTGTGAGAACAAATGAGGTGGAAAGTTGTAGTATTCAGGTTGCGAAAAATAAGGCATATTAGTTACTAAAGATTGCTGCATTGGTGGCAGTGGCGCTTGAGGTGGCATTTGATGCTGCTGTGTGTGAGAGACAGGACCCCAAGGCATAGGATAAGATTGCGGTTGCTGTGGTTGTGTAAATTCTGGTGGAAAGTAGCTAAATCGTCGATCGGATTGCCCACTAGAGGGACTTACAAAGATTGAGTTGGACCGAAAGGACGGTTGCAGTGGAGGTAAGGGATGGCCGTAGTCATATGGAGGTATTTGCTCTGGCATTTGGTTGAAGACATATCCAAATTGTGGGGGGGATTGATACGCATTGTTATGCTGTGCATTGTGTTGCGAGTGAGGAAGTGAGGTTGATGTTGCGCTGGAGTGTTCGGATGCAGACGGCGAGTTTGCGTCGGTCAGCGATGGGGAAGTGGCAGAAAAAGATGAAAGCGAATTATCGCCAAGTTCATAACTTTTGAGACATGCCTTGGTGAGAGTCATGTAAAGTTCTGATGTTGCTTGAGTTCCTGGCCACCGTTCGCGAGAACGTGCAACGATGTCTAAAGCTAAAGAAATATGCTCTTCAAGCTCTTCCTTTGTGTGAAGAGCGCGAACTTCAGAATACGAAATAGACCATAATACTGTGTTTATGGCCATGAATAGCGATAGGAGAAATGGCCATGTCAAGTCTATCATGGCGGTTTTTATTTGATCGCTTTGCGTCCTGATATTACTTGAAGCTGCATCATAACACATTATCGCGGAACGGTAGGACGGCTGGGGAACTTGAGGTGAAGGACGAAACAAGAAAATTATCATTGTATTGTACCTCCCGGTAAACCTAAAAAAGTATATCAGCACAACCGTGTTTTGGGGAGATTGATGTTCGAATGGGCTAAGTTGAGTCGCATTTAACTATTATTGAGTAGGAAAATATTACCTACCAGGTTTTACTCCATGCTGGCTTTTCAGGAGACGCCTCGAGCCAATCTCCCAGTTTCTGATGCATCTGGGCATACCAAGGATGCTCTTCATTCTTCGGCTCGTTTCTTTTTCGCAAATAAAGCGTTCTCCGGATCTCTGCTTGCAACAGTCTCATTCGAAAGAAGTGGATGGCTAACCGCTTTTTATCTGACATGGGACCAGGAAGGATACCATCAGCAGTTATGTACTCATCATCTACAGTTTGGAAAAATTGTATGTCCAAATGGTCTCTCCCAATAGCGAAAGCATTCGGCCTGCCCATTGACTGCGCTAAACCAAGCTCCATAGATAAAACAATCCAAGCGAGCCTTCGCCGCATATCGAGCTGTAAAGGATCAACTAGACCAATAGATACCCCTTGAGTAATGGTCTTTTCTTCTGCTAGACCTAATTGTTGACACAGTCTCGTAGCAAGTCCAACAATATAGTATATAGCAGTGCGAGTGGGAGTAAGCATAGAATATTGAGCGATCAGAACAAGGCACTGTAGCGTCTTGATGTCTTTTGCTCTTATAACATCTTCAATGTATCCCATAGCAGCCAAATAATAGCTATCAGCAAGGCCTGCATACTGCATGTCCAGCTTTTGCATGCTTATAGCTAGAACCATACGAAGGACAAAATTCTTATATGGATCGTTATCTCCATCATAAACTTCTTGAAGATTCTTGGCGAACGTAGGCTCGTGTAAAGTAGGGAGCATATACTGGGCTGTGTTGTAGTTAGCGAAAATTAGAGGAGTCCAACGTAACAATGCGGATGAGGGTAGAAGCCAAAATTGAGCTCACAATCAGCAATATATGACAAGGCTTCTTCGTCAAAGCATGGTTAGCAGCTTGAAAAGACTCGCATGTTCTTGAGACTTCACTCAGTTCACCTTTATCCTTCAAATTTACCATTGTTATCACGAAAAAACACAAATGCTATGAAGCAATTCACTACTCGGCAAAACAAAAAGATCGAAAGAAATTCATTGACTGACCTTTCTGACTAAACACTTCCACCAATTTGTCGGTCACTAGGCGACTTGGTAAAGTTGGCGCCGGTACAGCAGATATCATAGGATAAGACTTCTTTCGTTCCGAGGCTATATCTGGCGACTGTGCAGGAGTTCGACGTTGCCGCACTTCAGGCACGAGCTCGCGGATACTCCTGGTGTCTGTGTATTTCTTTGCCTCCTCCATCACTATCCGAGTCATCGCAATGCCACTTGAAGGCCCCAAGTATCGTGGCGTCTCATCATCGTCGTTAAGTCGGATCAAGCCTCCCGGGCGTACAATATCTTCCGAGTCTGGGGGATTCCCCTCTTCTTCAACCAATTGACTAAGTTCCATCTCAAGTGCCCGAACTTTTTCTTGCAACTTTATCACGTATGTCCTCGAGATTTTCTTGCCTTTCGTTGTATCGAAGTACTCGCATACTGCCCCCGCACGCTCGCAAGGCAAGCATCGTGGTAAATTGGGATCACACCTTGTTTTCCTCTGAAAAATAACAGAAACATCGTTAGTATATCTATACTATAAATTGGTAGAATGGCTAGTGTATTACAAACCTGGCGGCATCTGCAGCAGGCAGTCAAGGTATGTGCGATTCTCGGTGAACTATCCTCGCTTTCATGCGAGCTCTCTCTTGCGTGAAGGGACTTCGCATCGCGAGCTCTATTGACAGAGCCTAAGGCTTGTCTGAATAAATCTACTGTGTCCATCGACAAAGTGATAATATTAGATAAGAAGGTCGGTTTTGTCGTTGTAGCGCCAAACTCTTGTAAGGCTTATCATCGTTGGGGTGGGTTATCGTTGAGAGATCGTCACCAGAATTAAAGTTGTACTGATCTAGGTGCACTATCCACAAATGAACAATCAAAACTCCAAAGACACCTGACGTTGTTTTAGTCAAAGAACTTTTTATTCGGAGCCATGAGAAGAAGTTGTGGCGAAGAACAATGGTCGCTATAGAGGCATCTTAAGAAGTGGAAATCTTGACCGTTAGGAATTTCGGATGGATCGCAATATTGTATGGGTAAAATTTGGGAGGGGGCAATTAGGATTAGGGATTAGGAATGAAGGAAGCCATCCGAGTAAAACGACTTTTGAGAAATATCCCCGCGATCAAAATGTGGTCCTGTGGAGCAGGGGAATTAAACCTAGTACGAAGTACGCCCTCGAGGCCCTCTATTTCATAGGTCAGATTTGTCGATACCACGGGATTGCAAGAATATTGATCTATCATACCAGGCGGGCATACAAAGTGTCTCTCGAGAAACAAAGAATCCCCTGCTTAATGTAGCACACATCTGATAAGTGATGTTGTTCGAGTTCTAGTTGTAATCATATACGCAGATATACTTGATAGGGGGTACGAAAGTTCAGTTCGAGAATTGGTCTTGCAGCTCGTATTCATAAGAGCTTGGTCACCTCATACGGAGAGGAGGTGAAGGTTGTAGTCAACACACCTGTCGAATCAGACGCTTCCCTATGTGTGAAAAGCGAGGGCCTGCGTGATATTAAGATAGTCTGATCGAGGTTCTAGTTTGTTCAATGATTAGTCCAACGAATTGATGTAAAGGGGTAGTCGGTAATGAAATCTAACGACATCGCAATGTTTTATGGTATGCGAACACTCACTATCAGATATTGAAGTAGTCAAGTATTCCATCCAAATTCTAGCCTTTTGAATGATTACATATCTTACCGAGGGACGTTGAGGGGTGGATGTTAGGATGTGCCACAATCGGACAATTGGATTATCGAAGGATTATTGCTTGCTATTGTAGTATTATACCAAAGCTCGAGACCCCCAAGACTTTCTCCGTAGTGTTCCTTCGTTCATAATCTTTCCTTCGGCCGCCCTTCCTATCCTCTTTTCCTTCCTTTCTCTGTCTTATTGTATTGCCGTTCGACACAACAGAAGAAAGCAATCATCATGCTCCATTCAAACACATGCTCACAACCATGAGGCGCCGGATGGTAAGCTGTATGTATTTGCCAGGTAGTGTAGTTATGCACATTGGGAGGAACCGACAAGCCATTGGTATCACGATGACCAGTATTCTGGACTGACAGAGTGAATACACGCTCTCAGTATTGAAAGTAGCACAGTCCCTACGATACCTACCTAGGTATTCAAAGTAATTTCGGGATTTCATAATCATTGAATATCCTAATCAATGATTCGAGAATTGAAAGCTTCTAATTGTCGGATTACAATCCGAACTATTAGAAAGCAGGTATGATTGGTATCGGCTAAAAGAAGTAGTAGACGTTGGCTTCTTCTGGAACGGGTTGACTGCAGATATACCTACTTACTGCATTACAGTTAGGTTACTCGTAATGTTTCTCGATCCATTTTATTGGATCACGGGATCAGGACTTACACATCATTCTATATGCCGATGCACGATACACGCTCGAGACACGATAAGAGCTGGTCGTGCAGGAATAAGCGGCCGTTTCTTTCTTTACCTCCAAGGTTGTCCTTGTGTCTTTGCGTCTTTGTTTTCTTTCAATTATTTTTCAACTATCCTGCCTCCTGCCAATTTTTGCCCTGCAACTTCACCTACTCCGTACACTCTAGTGGGGCGTAGAAATCAAAAGATCAACAATCACCAATTTTGCCTGCTCGTGAGATTTACCGAGTACCGAAGGAACGGCTGTACTCAAGGATTCTGCAGCAATCCATTATCGAAGTGCACATTTCAGCGGAAAGTTTGATGCAAGTCTTTCGGACCTTCCGAGCATCATCAAGTCACATTAGACTCGAATCCGCTACCTCTGGGTTCTTGGCTACATATATAAGTTGGATCGTGAAAGAGCAATTTTCGAACGCGCGACGTGCTAATTTGGTGGAGGCAAAAGTCGACTTTTTTTCGACGTTCAAAATAATCATTTCTCGGTGTATGATCAAACGGGAAGTCGAGTAATTAAGGCGGCCAGCAAGTACTATTCATCTATCGATAAACAAGGGCATGAATCCTTCCTGATTGCAACTCCCTTATACCCTTGGACCCCGCTGCGAGACGATCCAGACGGATTACTACTTTTACTTCCGCTGCAATTTTAGACAGCAAATTTGTTGGCCAGAGTTCCGCTTGTTCAGAAGGTGGGTTGAGTAATTCCACTTTCGTCTGTCTTTGTGGATCTCTACACCCATCTCAGTGCGGAATGGTTGCTGTTATTCATTCGTGCGTGAAACTGTCTTACCCTATGCTATTTGCTCGTGAATATCTAGATCCGGCTCCATGGCCACTGCGATAGATTTCAATCCGAGTCACGCAATCACATGAGAGAGAAGCTATTGACAGGTAGTACCTTGCATAATATGCAACATGCATGCTCTTGCGAAAGGTGCTTGGGAGTATAGGCTCTCTTTCTTTGAACCTGCAGCTTTCGTTTCCCGTCAGGATTATGAGTTGAATCACAAGGCCTTATATTCAACTGACGTTCTGTAGCTATCTCTTGATGGTAAGAGGGGTATGACATATCAATAACAAAACTCTTCACCTGAAAATTCCGAATATTGAAAGACCTAGTGCTAGAGTAAGGATGCGTCGAGCCGGGCAAAGCGCCGCTGATACCCCGCTCCTACGAGTATCTAGGCCAGTCTCAGCATGTTCAAGATGTCAGTCCATCTACCAATAAGTATAACTCCATTGGCTAATACATACTAGGTCGAGCCGCAAAAATCAAGGTCTGAATCTTCCGACCTCAAGCGTAAATTCACTAACACCTTTTGAAGTGCGATGGGAAATTACCTGCGTGTACTGCGTGTGAAAAATCTGGACGACTGAACGAATGTTCAAGTGCAAATGATCAGTTTGCGAAGGGGAAGGAAAGGAGGTAAGACATCATCGCAATATTATTCTTGCAGAGCTAACCGTCAAAGTTATGTTGCTTCTCTTGAATCACGAGTCGAGAAACTCGAGAAGCGCCTGGCATACGCTCGGTTGAGGAAAGCATCTGTTGCGATGCATGATGTTGATACACCAACGGAATTGCCAGAGCGGAAGGACTCTCTGGCTACCATTAGAGCCGCTATTCATGGAAAAGCAGCTAGAAGGAGGGAGGCTGCTGATGTGAATGAATTGGTCTCCGACTTTGGTTTCCTGTGAGACACCAATGCTCCTCATACTTGGGAGATTTATACTCACAACTGTAGATCTGTACATGCTACCACGCGCGATTTTGAATCATCAACAACAAATATGACATTTGCTAGACTCATTCTTTCAGCGGCCAACCATGACGAATTGCCTGAATCAGATTCTCTACAATTGCCACTAAGATCTGTGGCGACAGCATCGATTCAATATTATCTCGATAACATTTTTGCTCTATATCCAATTGTCTCCGAGACAGCTCTATTCAATGCATTAGATAAAACTTATCAGGGTGGCAGTCAGCCGGTGACTGATTTTGAGCATTGGCTATTCTACATGGTCTTAGCCATATCATCCACCGCCCAATCCCGAAATTATTTAGACTCCAAATACGAGGAGGGTGTTTCTTGGGCTGGCCGTGCTCTTGCCTACGCTGATCATGTTCTCATGCCTGGCCATGTCTCCCAAATCCAGGCATTGGTACTGTTTGTTCAGTATGCAATGCTGGACCCAGCCCACTTTGACAGCTGGCAGTTGATGGGGTTTGCTTGTCGGGCAGTTGTAGATTTGGGATTTCATCAGGATCCACCTAAAGAGCAACAACCAGATAAAAAAGCATTAGATATGAGGAGGAGGATATTTTATTGCGTCTACTCGCTCGATAGGTAAGCAGAAACTCTTCATTTGAAAAAATACCAGTGGATATTAATGAAACCAGATCTATCAGTATGGTTCATGCAAGAGCCTTTTCCTTTACGGACGATTCATCTAGCGTTGAATATCCATCCGTATCACCCACGCTCCCTCCGATGGGTCAGGCGGATTCAATAGTTGGCCCCCATTCCATGGATTCCGCACATCTGTTGTGGCAATTACGACGTGCTCAGTCAAGTTGGTATCAAGAGCTGTTTCAGTCCAGTCGAGAACCATTGCCACAAGGCTCAACATACCTCTGGAAGATGTGTCAAGAAATGCGAGACTGGTCTAACTCCTTTCCTGATTCGCTCCCGCTTGCCTTCAAGGATTTCTTCGACTTGGAATTACTCTATAGTTACGTTTATTGTCTTGCCCCATCATGCCGAGTTCACGTAGTATCAGATTATGCAAAGAATCTGATCTTCGACCACGCCATAACATACATGCAAAAGATTTTTCCTATCAGTCAAGATCCTATCAATAAGGCATTCTATACCTATCATGATGCTCTACGAGTTTATTTCATTGGAAGTCAGTTAATGGCGGTGCTTTCAGACTGTCAAGATCAGATATTCAATGGCTCATATAACACTGGTGGAACGAGCTCTCCACCACCGTCTCTTCCGATAGTCACTGGATCTGATCACATCGATCGGAGCCTCAACTGTATAAACCATATCAAGGAAACTTTGAGGACATTTGGTCAAAGATGGGAGGATTCAAAGGCACTTCTGTCAAGTTTCGACACTCGAGCCGAGCCAATCATCGCAAGCCTGCACGGGAGAAAACAGCAGCAGCAGCAATATATCAAAGAAGAGTCTCCTATTGATCACAGCCCGAATTATATACCACAACCTGGTTACGATCATAGAACTTATCAAATGAAGCATGAGTGGCCAAATATGAACCCAATATATCCGGACGCTTCAGGATTTGGCGGAGCCGGTCATGGAGCTGGAGCACCCGGCTTGTAGAACAAATAAAGTACTTGACCAATTGTCAACTACGGATTCTTTCTTTTAACTTGGTTAATAAAGTATCAATCTATCGATAAACCATGACATCACCATCGCTTGAACTTCGCAGCTTCCTATAATGGAAAAATCTGATTACTATGGAAAGAGTGACCCCAATTTCTCAGCTGTTCACTCGAACATGCTGCTCGTGCCTTCTTCGTGTTCCAGGTTTCAATATTTATTTCTTAGGGTCAATCTACTTGCCTACATCTTTCTGTTCCTTTCATCTAACTTCTATTCATCCGCAATTTTCCAGACACGGTTGTGTCGTATTGTTAACACACTTTTGGAGACAAATATCGTTCAAAGCATTATAAAAGTATTTTACTTTATCATATCACTTTTACTCTACTAGTATAAGCTAGCCAGTTGGTTCATCCGTCAGGATGGCGCCGTTCTTTTCGTGAGTAAATGTGTTCTTTTAAAAGTATGCATTCTGACATTTCCAGACCAAGAAAACCGAAAGCACCTAGTCGTATCGATACAGAGCAGCGGGCTACCAACTCGCACTACTACACAGCTTTCAAAGTCGTCCTAAAAATCACCGTTATTACTCTCGTTATTTGCATTGCTTTCTTACCAACAGTAGCACTTCGTAACAAACACGGACATCATTCTGACGAGGTTCTTGTTAAAAATCCGGAACATCCTGCCAAGTTTGATGTCTCGACTGAACTTGAACGCCAAGTTACTCATGTTCCACTTCGCTTTGTGAAGTCTGCGAAGTTACTTGTTCAACAATTACGAATTCGTGACTCGACATTAGGAAAGTTGACGGATATTTCTGCTAGCAAACAAGTCGAAAGATCTGAGGACGTCACTGATGCTACTACTGATGGTATTCAATATGGAGATGATTCACTTGGTGGCTCAAAGCACCAAGCCAAGTCCGAAATTGAACGATTACAGCATTGTTCTCCAGAGATCAAAAGCAAGAACGGAGGGAAATGTATCAGACAATTGCCTCTTCTCATCAGAGACGACGACCGTGTAATTTCAAGGCGTTGTTCTTGGCAGGAGCGACGCAAGTACGGCGGAAGGTGTGTCTCTCATGAGTGGCAACCCACACCTCGCTCCTGGGTCGTGAATGAGAATACTGCTCTTTCCTCAGTCCACACGCTCATGCCCACTTCTACTCATCTGCCTGAGGTCATCAACACTTGTTCCTACGATAGTGGGGCCAAGAACGATGGAAGATGCCCCAAAGGATTAGTAAATGGTCTCGAGCCAGCAGAGAACAAACCAATTTCTATTTTGGTTAGGCCACCACCTTTCGATCCCAATAGGAAACAGCAATCACGGGGAGCAGCAGTAGACGAGGAGACCAGTGTCAACTATAGACCCTATAAGGCAGATTGGTGTAGACACGGTTGGGTCCGTACCACTGATGGTTGGTGTATCTATCGGGGTAGCTTTGAACACCAGACGATCAGACCGGAAATTTTCAATGATCCAGCCGCTTCTAAAAGATTGGTATCTTCAGAAAAACAGCGTCGTGAAGCGAAAACAAATGGACCAACTAAACTTGAACCCAGACCCTTTCAGGCTGCATCATGTCCAGAGTTTTGGGTCCAGACCAATGACGGTTGGTGTTACTATCGGGGCTCATCGAGTAAGCCGTTGGGATTTTGGGGACCCGATACAAAGAAGTCATTATCTTCAGGGCAAAAACGTCGCAATGATGGTGTGAGCAACGAGGCCAAAGAAATTAACACTGTCCAGGACGACTCATTTCATTGGATCATAAACGATGACGGTGTCTGTGTTCCCGAAAGCACAATATGGGCTGAAGATGAAGATCCAGGATTCTATTCGGGAATTCATTCGCCATTTGACTCAGGGCTTGATACAGTCGAGTCCATAAATTCAGGTATTCCAGAAGACTGCATGGGTGCAGCCTTTCCTGCTTCTTCGTGCCCATCTCCTTGGAAGTACGATGATGGCTGGTGCATGTGGCTTGGTGATGGTATCGATCCCGATTGGAGGAGATCATTTCTAGAGACTGTTGGGCTAAACTTTCAACGTCGTAATAAAGCTGAAGGCCAGAAGACACAGGTTCTTTCTTCACTGACTAGTAACGGGCTTTCATCTAACATAGAACATAAACTTTCTGTTACAACATCGTCGCCAAAGCATCCTGCGACTACCACTACTACACATACTTCTAGTTCCAACTCTATCTCTACCTCCATCTCTCCTACTAACACTCACCCTTCCGCCACAGTTGGAAAGTGTGACCCCCCTTGGATTCGTACTATGGATGGTCGGTGCTTCTTTGATCCCAATTATGAACGCAAGCATCCTCATGATCCATTGTCCCGGCCTCGAAAGACAATCCGGCAACGACGCGGTGAATCTATAAGCGAAGAGCGTGAAGAGCGTGATGTTGCTCCAAGTTGGCAAGCTGATTCATGTGAGCCGCCCTGGGTTCGTACTAATGATGGGTTATGTATATATAGACCAGACTACAAGCAAGGAACACATGCCTCTCTGCCCAACAATACAGAACAATTCAATATCACGAATCAATCCAATGACACACCACAACCCAGTGTAACGGAAAAACCAGATCAATCAACTGCTACAGCACAACCAACTCCCATGGAGACAGTAACTCGCATCCGCCACTGCATCAATGACTTACGAGGAAATCTTCAATGCTTTGATGAGTCGCCTGGACCTTTGCCTACATCTACACGAGTTTCGTCAGCCCGTCATCGTCGAGGCCTTTGGCCCGCAGATTGGGTACCACAAACACCAAGCGACTGTGATCGTTTTCTCGGAAACACATTTAAGCACTACCAGTGTCTCCAATCGGTTAAACACAAAAATGTCGGATTAAAACTCATCATGGCTTTCCTACTTCTAGCTGGATTTGGTTCTCTTGTATTCCTCATCATCACTTGTGTTAATCGAGCTGCATGTCCGAAAGCTCAGCCGTTCAGACAAATGAGCGGGACTGTCGATGCAAATGGTATGACTCAACATTCAACACCTTTGTGCAACAATTATCCTTGGAATAACAAAAAAGATTCAACAAATGTAATGGACGGAGATCGATGGGCTAGGGGTCCGCCTGCTTACGATCCCTTGAGACAATTAAGTCCAGAGCATTCGGGTAGTCTAGTTGCTTGTACCAGGGAAAATAATTGCGCAAGTGGTAGTTCGGATTCGAATCAGAGTTGGGTTAGAAAATTGTGTAATAAATGTTTCAAGAGTCGAACCAATTCGTCGGCCTCAGATAGAGAAGCACAGGCTGGAAATGTGGGGAACGGGTTGAGGAAAAATAATCATAGGATTGATACGCTGAGATTGCCAAGTGCAAAGCTGGCGACGGTAAGGAGGGCAAGTGGATTACCGAGTGACGAGAATGGAGATGTGTTCGTGGGTGGAAGTACGGAGACGGTGGTGATTGGAAGTGTAGGGAAGGGGTCGGGGAGTGCGGTGGGTATGAGAGGTTCGGATAGTGGTTCTGCTGATGTTGCAGCTGATGTTGCAGCTGATGTTGCAGCTGCTGGTGCGGGTGGTTTGATGAAATTGGGAAATCTTAGTGGTGATACGCTTGTGGAGCCAGAACCGGCGATGTTAGAGTGTAGGAGTGGCAAGGATGGAAAGGATGGAAGGGATATCGGAATTGTGGAGATGGGAGGTGGCTTAAAGACGGGAAATGGCAATGCGAAGAAGGTGGAGTTTGGGGGAGGAGAGGAATTTGAAGAGGTGCGTGGTTGGAGGGATGTTCAGAGGGTTGAACCGTTGAAGGTTGAGAAGGTTGATAAGGAGAATGTGAATGTGAAGAAGATGGGAGAGGGTGAGAGAAAGGGTGATGAGGTGGAGATGATGTTGATGACGGTTGAGGAGGAGGAGAATGATGAGAATGAGAGAAGAGGCGAATTTGAGAGGAGGTCTAGTATTGTTTGTGTTAGTGGATGTTAGGCTTGGGTTTGGATGTCGTTGTGGGGGAGCGATTGAGTATTCTTTGAAAATAGATGGATGGAGATGGGGATTGTGATGCCTGCCATTCGTTTATCGTTTTGTTATTGGGAGTTGGTGGACCGCGACAAGAAGATTACAAGTTTCTCCTTTCCTTTCATTTCATTTCCGCTGGATTATATCCCTATCCATAGAATCCAAAAAAAGGAAGAAGGAAAAGTGTGAAGTGGCGAGAGAATGGCGGAGTATTCATTATTTGCTTGACTGGAGCAGGAAAATTGTCGTGTTTTCTACAGGAGCTTGTTTCTATACTCTCTTCTTTTGTGGTTTCGTTTCGTTTCTTTTGTCTTGTCTTGTTTTGCTTTGTTTTCGTATTAGTCATTCGTTTAGATAGATTTATAGGGTTGAAATGCTAGATGCTAAGTACTAGCTAGAGAGTTTGGAATTAAATGCACTTCTACTCGTTCACTCGTTCACTAGTTTACATGTTTAAAAAAAAAACTGGTGATTGTATGATTGAGTATATCATGGTGAGGTAAAAGAGGAGAGAGAAAGGAGGAAAATGGATGGGTGAAAGGTTTTTCTTGATGGGAGGGAGATCTTGATGGTTTCGAGATTCGAGATTCGAGATTTGCAAGCAGGATTATGATTACTGGAAAGGTGGTGAGCATCTCGGAGGTATACATAAAAATGCACGCTCTTGTTCAATATCATATATCTTGGGATCACGTTGGTGAAATATTCTGCTGCATTCTGTGCATTCTGTGCAGTTTTGATTTCTTTTGCAATATAATCACAGATCATGTAATTCTTCATTTCTTCGTGCATTTCTATCTATCTATCTATCCACCACTTTCTTTTCCGCTCTTCCGTCTCGTCTCCTCGCACCTCCCTTCCCTTTGTCAGCGTAAACAGAAGATGAGATATAACTAAATAAGTAAAACAGGGGTATCAAAGAAGAAGAAGAAGCCTCTCCAAATCTCCAACGAACTACCCTTCCCCTTGCCCCCAAAAAATTATAAGAAAAAAGATTATGTAAGATATATTACGTTGTGTTGTGGGAGGTAATGAATACCCGACTGAGTAAGTAGTGCCCACCAACCAACAAACACCCTGCTTGACCTTGTAAATATGATTCCCCTCCCTCCTTGAAATTATTGCCGTGCCGTCTTAAATTTGAGAGTATCCCATTTTTCTGTTGTTCCCATTGCCGTTATTGCTCGACCCATTCCCCAGCACCAGATTGATTGATGGCATCCCGTTGTCTCCAAAGCATTAAGAGAAAATATTAACAAATGAAATGAAGTTGTGACTTTTTGCATGGCGACACGGCGAAAAGGCAAAGGAACCTTGACTCGAAACGATATCAAAAGGAAGGAAAGAGAATGAATGAGAGCGCAGGCTATTAAATAGCCCCCTCTTCACCATCCAAAACCCTCCTTGCAGCATCCAACCTCCGTCTCCAAATTCTCGAATCGTAATTCCCCGCTTCTGTGTCCTGCAATTCTAAAACGCATTTTCCCAAGCTAGCGACTAACCGCTCGACGAGGAGTTGGTCATCTTTGGAGAGCATCTGTACTGGTGAGGTCCGTGTACGACTGCGGTTATTCTCAAGGGAATCAGAACGGATTGGGTGGGAATTGGCGCTGGAGGCAGTGCCAGGCGGAGTAAAAGCATTGGGCTGTTCTCTGTGTTTGACGGAGAGAGGGACGCTACGTGTTGTACTGGCAGAGGTCGCTGAGTCTAGGGAAAGATTCCTGGAGTGGACGCCAGGTATCACATCAATATCGTATAATCCGGAGCCTCGAGCTATTCCAATATCGTTGTAGTCATTGATAACGGTATTCCTGGGGGGTAAAGATCCAAATGTAGACCGTTTGGTTGCAATAGAAGTGGTCGTAGTTGGCTTATAAGGAGAGATTGTGGGTGAGTCCGGGGCGTCAATTTTACGAGTATCGGTAATAGGAATAGTTAAATCGAAAGGATCTTCATCTTCATTATATTCATCATCCTCCACGTTTGACTTGGCAGTTGCAAAAGTGGCTAGAGTAGAAATCGAAGCATTACTGTCAGATCTAAGATGTATCATGGAAGATCGTTGATTGGGGTCATGGCCATTCTCTACCAGTGGCATTGGAACTGAAGGTCCTCGAGTTGTTTCCACAGAATCCTCTGAGCTAATGCTTCCTCGTCTTTCTCGACTCATCGTACCCATTGCGCTGTACAGGAAGAAATGTTCATAATCGAACGCATCTTCACGATCTTCATGTGATACCTGTTCGGTTACCGATTCGTGATAAATTGATGCATCACTGTTGTCCTCGTTGTCAAATTCGTCAAATTCTGAACGGCCGTCACTGTAACTTTCATTGCTTGAAACTTCAGACACCTCTGAGCAAGTATCATAGCCCTCCTCCTCAACTACTTGTGTTTGATTCTGATGGGTAGGGAACCCAGGTGGCTTTACCTGGCCCTCATCAAAATCTTCATATATACTTGTAGAATCCGATTCGGCATAGGTTGGAGCTTGTCTTGCAGATACTTGGGTCGGTTGTGCAGTGTATCCATTCTTCGTAGGGTCGCCATTCTGGATCCCATTCGACTGAACATGATCTACTACCGAAGCTGTCTTGGGAACGGCATCTTGACCATTAACACCTCCACTATACCACTGTTCTCCTGCCGTAAATGGACTAGGAGTACGTAAACTTTGGAGACTGCGACGCTTCATATTATCATCTCTAGCACGATCTCGCAAAGCGGACAATCTTCCTTTCAAATCACTCATTTGATGTTGTATATCCTGCATTCTTATGCTTGAAGTTGACGAAGAGCGACTTAAAAGTCCTTCTCGGGTAGTTGGATATTCTCTGTCAGTATCAATTCTGCCATTAGTCCTGCCGTCAAATTCAGGAACGCCATCCTCGACCAGGGGTTCAAGATGCGATGGTTGTGATGGAGAAATCCTGCTATGTGGTGAAGATTGCCCGGATCCTCTTGGCCTTACATTTTCATTGCTCTCCTCCTTGATCATTCCTGGAGAAAGTGGCGATGCTGGTTTTGGTGTATGCGATCCCATAGAACTTCTAGCCCTGTATGTAGCTGCCGCGCTCGAGGCGCGAACAGGAAATGCTGTGGCTCGCGAAGGAGATATGTTATTTTCGCTCCAGACCCTCGAATGACCAGGACTCGAAGCAGTTGAATCTGTGTGAAAATTGGAAAATGACCGTTGTCTCGAAGGAATACCGCTGATGCGCCGATCGACTTTTAGGAGAGACGGATTGGTTAAAGGACTACTACTGTAAATCGATGGCATGGAAATCGATGGCGTTACAATAAGAGAGCTTCGCGCTCGGGTTAAATTTCCTTCCATATTCTAAAGAGACGATTATCAGTGTATGAACTCATTTTGTAACTTGATGAAACTCACGTTGAGTCGACGTTTGGCATTCAATAGAATTTGTTCCGCTCTCCTACTCAAAGCGGCACTCGAATTCTGATCATCTTCCCCCTCTCCAAAATTCCCTTCCCTGCGCGACAATCTGCGTGTCTCCTGTTCCACAAGTTCCTTGCGATAAGGATCCGTATATGATTCTGCCACACTCTCCTCATCATCGCCCTGGAAATTACTATCATCTACACTGACTGTATCATCGATATCTCCAAACATGGCCGATTGTGGTTCTGACGTGACGGTACTAGCAGATTCCACAGATATTTTCCTCTCGTGCGTTCCGGTCTTGGTTCCCGACCTCCTCAAATCATGTCCCAATGATGTTGAACTTATGCGATGACCATTTTGAAGCTGCTGCTGCTTGATGAACCTCCGTTCAGCAGGACCGGGTAACTTCTTTCCTGGCGTACTTTCCACCTCTGTGACCTCGCCTATATCTGATAACATTGTTCCATTCCCATAGATAATTGGCGTGGTGGGCGTCCTAGGCGGCGGGCCACCTAGATATTCTGAATTATTTGATCGTTGCCATGAATCCCCGGACGAAGAAGTAAATTGAAATGATGTATGCCGCAATGAAGGTTCTGAGTCGTAATTCGTTTCATTATGTAGTGGGAGGATCATGTCTGGTTCAGTTAAAGTTGGACTTTGTGAACCAGGTCGAGGTGGATAAACCATGATTGCTGTAGTACTGGAGGATTGACTCTGCATGATGGCCTAGTTCCAGGCACTACCACGAGAGCTGAACAAAGTTTCTTTTTTTTTTCTTTTCCCTCCTCCTCTCGAGCTGGGAACTTTGGAACAATGTGTTAGGTACTGAGTCTGACCGCTGACCATCCAATGAAATATCTATATTTATTTTGACAGTTTTTTTGGGGCGCCAGCAGTTGTTGGTAAGACTATTTGTTAGTCGGCGATTATTGATTCATCGATTGGGCTTCCAGTGAGTGTGCTATGAGGGTTGGTATGGTAGGATTCGGGGATAGGGGCCATCCGCTTTCTCTAGGTCTATATCACGGTCGTGCGAGGTTGCAGTCAATTCATATATTCATGGTGAATAGTTACCAAATTTGACAATTGGATATTTTAAGGAGAAGGAGATCGGAAAGGGAAAGGAAAAGGAAAAGGATAAGGAAAGAGAATCAAGTGTATGTAGGGGAGAGAGATAGAAAGGTCTATGAAAGCTACTGGTACCTATCTATCCATCCATCTATCTATGCTCTCTCTTCATTATCGCCCTACCAGCCTACCTAGTCATAATGATTACTTTTATTTCTCCCTTCTCCCTTTCCATACTGCACAGTATTGCATGCATTGCATCCATCTTGCATCTTGCATCGAGCATTTGTTCGCATATCCCCACGCCAGACCGACTGTACAATCAATCTACTTGCTCCGTATTAGCATTTAATCCTGGGTTGGAACTACCCTACTGTGTGCTACTGCTGTAGCGAATCCTTTGGGAGGCTCGGAGGGTGTCTAGGTATTTTGAAGGACAGTTCACGGTTCACAATTTGCACTGAGAACCGAGATTATTTCTCCGTGGGTGCTTTTGTATGGAGATTCATATGACTTTGGGACTTATCACATCGCACTCCGTCCAAATCAGTTCCACAAGTTAATTTCTCATTTGCTCTTGGGAAAGGGACTAGCATATAGTATTATGTATCCCGATGATCTTCGTCGGTAGTGAAAGTGGAGGTGGAATTGGAATGATTGGCATTGGAGCTGGAATTTGAAGGGCGGAGCTTGATTTGATTTTTATATTACCGTCATGTTTATCCTTTTTCATCATTTAGGTGCTGATTCTTGATTTCTTTTCCTTCCTTTCTTCTGTTCTCTTCTCTTCTTCTTCTCCTTCTTCTTCTTCTCCTTCTTCTTCCTCTCCTCTTCATTTCTTATCTTCATCTTCGCAACTGTCCATTCTTGCTCTTGCTACACACCAGGAAGTCAAGCTGGTATGAACACAGTACTACCTCTCTACCCACCCACCCATGACAATGAAGGAGTTCCGGATGGTACACAGAGAAGTTTCTGCAATTGCAACTGTACGATGTACTTACAACCCCCAATTCAACATCATTTCTGACTCTCAATTCGTCCCACCAAGTGGCCGACCACTGTAAGGTACACAACCCATTCAGACCCGGCTTATTATAGGCACAAAGCACCTTCTATTCCGGGGCCACACAATAGCCCTTGTCGCTCCCATCCTTGTAAAGCCACGTTGATATACGATACTGATGTTAATCTTTACTCAAGAAGTTCAAGGACAATTGAAATTTGACTCCATAGGAAACATCAAAGCAATCAAAATCTAGAACTTGAAGAGCACACCGTAGAAGAGAAAAAAAATGGGAAAAATAGGAACTTGGATCACCAAGATCATCAAATTCATAAAATAAGATTAAAATCATCGGATTTCTACATTGGGCATTGGAAATACCCCGTTATATTTTCTCCCCGAAAGGGAGTCAATTCCCCCATTGCAATTGCAATTCTGATAATGTGTCACAAAGGGTATTCTTTACTATGATCATTACCAAAAGTATATGCCAGTATGAATCTAAATACTGATTGAAGATGAATAGATTAATAAATTCCCCTCTCTCCTAACGTTCAAAATTGATTGATAATGAACCCAGGAAGGTAGGGAAAGAGGGTCAACGCCGATTCAACGGTCATAAAAACCTCCGAAATTGGATTCAATCACGCACATCGGATTCGACTCGAAGCGGAAAGTGTTTTAATTGAGTAATATATCTCATCCATGGTTCAAGTATAATTGCTTGCATGAGACTTTGGAGATAAAGAGTCATATCAATCATTAAATACGATGATTGCGACATGTTTTATAAATCATTTCAACAAGGCTGAATGCCGAAATATGTATTCATCGGGATAGGGAGACAAAACTCCGTATAGCAGATTACGGGGTCAAAAGATGAGTGGTGGGGTGTGAGTTTGACTGCTCACAAGTCACGATTTTTCTTTTTTCAATGTTTGAAATGTACTTGATGAACACCGAAAGGAATTCGGGTTTGGATGTTGGATTTGTTATGGGCCTGGTATATCTCCATCATCTCAGCGGATGAGTCATTATCAGACTAATTATTGGTAGACTACTTGCCCTGAAAGTGGGAGGAGCCATGGAGGTATAAGTATATTCTCAAAATACTCATTAATCGTGTATTTTCTATGACATACAACGCGTCACATTCACAACGTTAACAATATCTGTATACTCAACACCAAATATTCAAACCGAGATTTCATATCCAAACCCATCCATTCTCCCAAGACTTCCCATCCCACAAACCCTCCTCCTCTCCACCACCTTCCAACCCCCCCCCCCCCCCCCCCCCCACCTCCTCATCATGACCCCCATCCCCGTCCCCTCCTCCCCCAACCCCTCCTTCTCCATTCACCCCTGCACCCCCGCCGACCTCCCCTCCATGCTCACCATCTACGACCTCGCCTTCGCAACCGACCCCTTCCGCCTAGCCCGCTGGCCCTCATCCCACGTCCCCCCCTCCGTATTCACCTCCTGGCTCGCCAAAGTCTTCACCAAGTATCTCCATACACCTCACACACACACCTGGAAACTTGTGGAAAATTCCACAGGGAATATGGCAGGCTGGACGCATTGGGCCGAACCGCATGTGCTGAGTCGGGAAGAAGAAGAACGAGAGAAATTAGAAGAGGAGAAGGAAGAGAGGGAGAGAATAGAGAGAGGAGAGGGAAAGTTCCCGGAAGGTTCGGTATTGGATGTATGCGAGGCGAAGGTACGGGGCTGGGATAGGCTGAGAGAGAAGTGGTATAAGAGAGAAGAAATGTTTTGTATGTCACGTTTTTCTTGTTTTGCTTTTTTTTCAACTCTTTATTTCTTTCATTACTCTCTATAATTCCTAAGCGAGTACTTCCATCCTTTTCATAATACCTTTGCATTCCGTTCCATTCGCACAGCATGAATAGACACCTCGTTTCAAGTCCACTTCACACCACTATCACAACCCTTCTTCACATCAACACCCATCTAACGACCCCCAGTAATCTACTTCCTCTCCATCTCTCCCAGCTATCAAAAACTCGGCCTTGGCACCCTTCTCCTCACCGCTATCACAAATCTCGCAGATGCTCAAGACAAAAGTAGTTATTTGGAAGCGACGGCCGCAGGGTATCCGGTGTATGTGCGCGCGGGGTTTAGGGAGGTGGATTGTATGGAGGTGGATTTGGGGGGGCTTGGAGTGGGCAGGAATTGGGCGATGATTAGAGGTGGGGGGAAAGAGTAGAGGAGGGGAGGAAGAGATGTTGTGGGATGGGGAAATGGAATGGGTAGATAGTTACTAGGTAGATAGATGAATAGAATTTATCGCTTTGCACTTGATGTATTGCAATAGAGATACATGTACAAAATCTTAATATTCATCACACATTTTACTTTCTCACCCATACACAGGTAGGTATCTGAAGGTAACTCATTATTTGACAACTGTATATATGGTCAATGATGCAAAATGAATAAACCAATATCATCATTGCACAAGGTACCATCTAATCCTAGACTCCAACCCACAAGATCGCATATCCTAGCGCGATATCACAAAACAATGCAATGTTTACTCCAACCCCTGTACTGTAAGTTCTTCATCCAATCCACGAATCTTCAAGCGTTACCCAAAAACTTCCCTTTGAGCTCAATCGTGACATACTGGCTTGGGTTCCTGACACATCTTCGATATCCTGTACGAATAGCCCCAAATTTAGAAGCTGAACCTGAACCTGAACCAAACATGAAGATGGGTATTTCCTCTCCAAAACCAAAAATGCACCACCGTCTGCTCACAAGCACCAAGCTCCCCTCGTCCTCATACAAAAGTCCCCTGCCCTCTACCTTCATACCGGGCCCCTAATGCAAAATTCTCTCCCACGGCTCCCTCCACGGCACCCCCAATGCTTCAAAAATCGCTCTCTCGTCTCTCCCCTCTACCAACGTCCCATCCGTGACTTTCTTCCTACTCTCCCACTTTCCTCCCTTCATCCCGCCTCTCATGACATCTCTATACAAGCCCCGCTGATTTAATCTCATCCCTTTTTTCCCAGCCAGTAAACGCATACTTCGGTTGAAAATATCGTCGCCGGTGAAATAGATGAGTGCTGCGCCGATTTCGGACGCAGGAACGAGGAGGAAATCGATGCGACGCCAGGGGTTGGGAGAGGTGAGTTGAGAAGAGGAAGAGGGAGATGGGAGAACACAACATCCGTGCCATTTTGAGCCTTCGTTATTATGCGGTACGGCGAGCGCCGCAGTTAAAAAGTGGGAATCTGTGAGAGACTTTACGAGAGAAGAGAGGAAGGGTGCTAGTTGTGTTGTTTTGGTAGTGTGGGGTTTGGAAATGATGATATCGATATCGCCGGATGTTTTTGCGCCGCGACGATAGGAACCGCCGATTGTGATTTCGATTTCGGGATCGAGGGTTTTAGATGTTTCGATGATGAAGTTACCCAGTTCTTCGATTTCGTGGCGGGGAATCCGGAGTTGCAAATCATCGTAGTGTTCGATGCCGATTTGTTGACTGGGTGTGAGTTTGATGTTGTTTTTGAGATCGGCAAATGAGCGATGGCCTTGAGAAATCCATTTTGATGCGAGCTTGTAGTTTACTCCATAGATACCCATGAAGAGTTTGAGGATTTTATCGTCTGGTTCTGCTTCTGCGTGGTCGAGACGCCGGAGATGACCGGTGAGGACTATTTCTTCGATTTTTTTGGCGATGCGTTGGCCAATTTTGGGGATTACGATGGCTTCGGAGAAGGTACGGATGAGGGTTGGTTGGTTTTTGAGTTGGCCGCATGCTTGCATGTAGGAACGCGTACGCCATTGATCGCCGATTCTTTCATAGTAGTCTTTCATTCGTGACAGGATTTGGATTGTGTGATCGTTGGGATTGGGTTCGTCGGAGGCGGTTCCCCCAGTCATACATTGGAAGTTACTTAGACTCCCTTTGCCCGCAGGGGCTGTTCGACGGGTTTTGGTGGGAGCTTTCAGAGGGGAACGACGACCATCTTCTGAATCTGATTCGTCTATGGTATCATCAAATTCACTGAAATTTGATGTTAGGTCGTCGTCAGAATTGTCATGATCGAGTACACCTTCGGTTGCCATGGCTAATTCGATTGCTTCATTTAGTATACCAAAGTCTGCGTATTGTGGGTTGGGGGAAGATGTTTGATTAAGGTGCTGTGAGCTCTCTTCTGTCAAACCATCTGGATCTGTTTCCGGCAACTGTGATCTAGAAATTGAGGTTGACGGGAAAGGAGCCGGTTTGACGGTTGGTATTGAACGTTGACTACGTTCAGGTGTTTCTTTCAGAGGCACATACTCCCACTTATTAGGTTTCCTGTTACGAGGTTCTAATTGGAGAGATTCATGTGACTGCTGTGACGTTGATGATATCGGCATCTGCTTCTTTTCGATGACTGCATCTGGATTTTTGACCTGATATTTCTTCCCAGTTGGTTCATAGAGAAATTTCTGTTCAATGCAATCTAATAACCATTCCTCATTTACCATACTGGCTCCATCCGGAAGGACTCCAAGGTAGGTCACAACGTCCTTGCGCGTCAAGGAGTTATCAATAATAAGATGCGAGATGGGCTCGTTTATATCTCTAACCCATGTTGCGCCGCGCTCTCTTGCTTTAATGATGCGAAAACGCCTGACTGGAGATTTATCATCGTTAGGAAGGAAGAAAAAATTAAGACCTTGGAAGACCCGATCCTTTGGGGGAACAAACTTTAGAGGTTTCTCTTTCTTCTTGGTGGGTTTTTTGTTGGCCCCGTTTTCCTGGGCATCTCCTTTTCTCTTTTTGCTAAGCATTGATGCGATTCCTGTACTATTGGTAAGAACCAAGGTAGCTGATGTTGGATTTGATATGCTGCGTTGATCTCTAGTTGGTCTTTTTACTGAACCATCTGCACTTCTTAAAGACGACGAAGTTTCCTTTTCAAAAGAACTACCTGTAGAAACCGTAGCACGCGATTCGCTTCGAAGGCCAGACCTTCTACGAGGTGACTCAAAAAGTTTCTCCGTCGTACCATCAGCCGTATTCTTAACCGTACTTACATTCCCCTTTGGCTCTGAATGACTTCGTTGTAATGTTGGAACATTTTTTAAAAGCGGTTTATGTAGCTTTCGAGGTGGTAGTAGATTTGGATCCTTTGGTAAGGGAGGTAGCAAACTCCGCTTCCTTTGTGATGGAGGATCCAAAATGGGAGTATTGCATTTTTTCAAAAATTCTCGCGATTCATTGAGCTCTCCTTCATCTGAATCCGAATTACTTAAAGCATAGAGCTGTGTGAAATAGCTAGCTTTGTCTGCCTATTGCTGATGTCAGATGAGAACATTTGGAATCCTCCGTGGCGTTTTACTTACCATGATGAGGAGCAAATAGAAAAGCAATATAAGTAGCAATATATATCCAAAGACTCTCAAGATGAAAACATGAGAGTATGAGAGGCTTTATGCTTGTAGGTTTTGCAAAAATCGATGACAAAACAATGATGCGTGATGTCTGAGTGTGATTCCTTTGTTTTGATATTGCGCCTGGTGATCCCGCCAAGGAAAATGAGGCTAGTACTAGGTTACCGAGATACCGTCCCTTTCCCTTCAGCAAAACAACATCATATTCTACTCCCTACGACTCCAGCCAACCTCAAATATCCAAGAGTGCGAATTATCATTGACATCTAAATATGTGTGGAATGTTTGAACTCTGACAATACATCAATCCGGCTCTCAATCCGGCTCCCAGTCTGGTATCAACACCTCTAAGATCTCGTGCCGCCCCGTACGCCCCTTTCCTTCAGGATTGCTGACTTTCGAAAGCTCCCATCGATACCTATATTATACTCTCAGCGGCATTCATCCGATCATGAATCCTGAAAATACATTTCCCCGCTTTCTTGACCTCCCTTTGGAGCTGAGAGTACAGATATGGGAGCTTGCTGCTTTTCACAAACGTATTCTAGAATTGAATTACGACATTGTTGATAAGAAGTTTGTCAATTATGGTCCACCTCCGGCCATACTTCATACGAATAGAGAATCTCGTAAAATTGCTCTCCAATCTTACAATCTGTCATTCGGTACAGATACACAGCCAGCGGATATCTACTTTAATCCCGTTTGCGATACTATATATTTCAGTTCGAGGCAATATGTGGACGAAGTGATGGCTATCGCAAAGCACTTTTCTATCCAATCACCGTTTCTACCCTACCATCATCAGATTCAATCAATTGCTCTGGCCAAACAATTCTGGGGTGCAGCTGGTTACAGCCTTCCATTTCATCTATCTCGCGCTCTGGGAAGCATTACTCGTTTCCGTTCGACTTTTCCGCACATGAGAAAAGTCATCTTAGTGAGAGGAATACCAAGCGAAGAAGAAGTTGATTCGTGGGATCGCTATTCAGGCATAACTCTATTGGAGTCAAACATAGACGAATTCAAAGATGATATCTTGAACCTTGTTATGTATGCATTTGCAGAGGATGCGAAGACGCGACCGGACGAAATAATCGAGGTGAAGGTGATGGAACACCCTCAAAAACGATGCGATTCTCATTTCCAAGATCAAGATCATTTGGTTCTTTGGTAGGACATTAATATCTTCGCATGCTAAAGCACCAATAGCAATCATGCGAATATCATGCAATACAGCACTTATCTGTTTGGTTGATGGCATATCATCTCATCCACCAACTCGAGCTATGCAATAGTTTCGACGCACGAATATAAAGTGTACACCAGAGCAGTCATTACCCTATTTCACAGCTCACATGTCAAATAATCTCTCTGTTACATATTTGGTGTTTGGCGTTCGGACGAAACATAGAAATACCCCCTTGTTTTTGTGTTGAGAGTACATAAATCAAAAGTAACCTGCAGCTTGCAGAATTTGGCCGATTTCCACGCATGTACATACTCACTGTGGATGCTCATGTGGCTTTATCCTTTATTAAATATTCTCAAGGTGGTGATGAGATCTCCACCCCCTCAAAAGACTGGTAAGATGGGTAGGATTTGTGTAGATGTATTGAGACGACCAGAAATTCAGTCGAATCCTTTGAAATTGGGTGTAAGACATGCCACATAACACATAACACATAACACATAACACATAAACAAACAACAAATAAGCAGCATCTGAACGCTCTGTTAATTCATTTATTTACACATTACAATGGGAAAACTTGGGTAGCAATTTAAAGCAGGCGTAACGCTTAATTAATCGTGTCTAGGTACTGTACCTAGGTATGTTTGTCACCCCAATACACTAACCCCGCATTGCGATCGATTATCCGGAGTCAAGTCTCCACTATGTATGGATTATTGCAGGGAATGAAGATGTATCAACGGCTCTAGTCCAAAATATACTTCGTACATACATTGCCACTCGCAAGTACGAGATGGTGTGGTGGTATTGGTGGATGTTTCGCCATTTCATATTGTCAAGTCAGATACTTACTTGAAGACACATACTCGTACATATGCATACATTAGGAGTTTCCATGATGAGTGTCTACTCCGATAACATATTACGTGTAATATGTAAGTTTTACTTGAAGAAGAGCCTGTGCCAACGGTCGGTTTCTGTTGGTATGTGAAAAGAACATGAGTATGCATTAGTGCGCTCGGTCGAAAGCAATTTAAAAACGATACTGGGGTAATATACTGGGTAAAAGACTTCGGTTCCAGATCCCATGTATCCCGTGGACTGAGAAAATGCCTCCTTTGGTGGAGTTGCAGGTTTGAAATCTCGGTAGGGTATTTCGAACCAGAGGATTGGGATTATTCTTGTCTCTTAGGTGGAAATGCAAACAAAAGCCACCACTTGTTTTGTCGATTTGCTTTGATTCGCGGATTTTCTAAATGTGGGATTGTCCGCTTGTATTGATCCACCACAGAAGCTTTTTCTGGAGTATGGGGGATTGCAATTGTATTCCGCTAAAGTTGGAAAGCTCCAAGTTCATTGGGTCGAGATTATGCCCTAGCTTGGGGCTATTCTTTCCCCGTTCGTTCGTTTGCCATTTCGAGTTTCGTTGGCGTAAGCTCCATGGTTATAAGCTTTAAGGGGGAACTAAAATCGCTGAGAATGGGGTGCGGGAAACGGCCTTGTAGGTTATCATCCTTGCCGCATCGAGACCATGTGCAGGAATATATATACGACCGTAAACTGCTCAACATGCGAATGAAGTGTGAGTGGAGCCTTGTCAGAAGTTCTAGCGGTCGATCTTGTCTCCTCCATTATTAATCGACACTCTTTCCACTTCTTCATCGTAGCATTCCTCTTGTATCAATATCGATATCGATATTGAGATCTACCTTCCAATTTATAACTCATAAGGCTGAGTCCTGGTTGACCAAAATGGGGATCTTCAACACGGATAAGACGAGAGTGTACAACTGGTAAGGTTTACAGTACTTTGTTGACAGTAAGAGTGATCTAACGATACATAGGTATATCTCGCTCGTCGCAGCATCATGCATGGTGCTATATGGATATGATGCCTCTGTATACAATTCCGTACAAGGCTCAAAGAACTGGGTAGCTTACTTTAACGACCCGGTATGTTTCCCTATCAAAGAGTCAGCATTTGATCCAGTCTAACAAACAATCAAAGGATACCGAAAAGATTGGTGCTGTCAATACTGCCTATACAGTCGGTGCTATTATCGCTGGATTCTTTCTCGGTGGTCCAGTAGCAGATTGGCTTGGTAGAAAATGGGGTATGGCAATTGGTTGCTTCGTGACTATTGTCGCTACTTTCATCCAAACATTTTCTCCTCGAGGCCAACTTGGATGTTTTATCGCTGGTCGTGTGATCATTGGTCTTGGTCAAGGTGTTGCATTGAGTATGTTTGTTGAACCCTTCTGTTCAAGCTTCTGCTAATTAGATAAACAGCGGCGGGACCTGTGTATATTGGTGAGCTTGCACCACCTGAGATTAGAGGAAAGATCATGGCTTTTGTGAGTTTCACAGCGCCAAAAGTTGGCGAAACTCGGAATTGCATGCTAACATAGACTTATTATAGTGGCAATTATTCTATTCAGTCGGTTCATTCATTGCCTATTGGATTAACTTCGCCTGTCAAAAACATGTTAAAACGCTTGGAGAATGGGGTAATACTCTCACTATTTTCTTACTTTTCAGACGTGTTTAACCATCTCTTGTCTATCCTTTCACTTCAAGATAAAATCAGCTCATCTCCACCGCAAACTAACACTCCCACCCCACAGACTGGAAAATGGTCGTCATCTTCCAAATGCTCGTCCCCATCATAATCCTCACCCTCCTCCCCTTCATTCCCGAAAGTCCCCGTTGGTACATCCAGCACGGCGGACGTGTCGAAGATGCCCGCGCCGCCCTCCGTCGCGTGCGTGCCACAGAACAAGACGTCGAAGACGAAATCCTCGTCATCCGCGAAGCTCTCGAGTTCGAAAAAGAAGCCATTTCCTCCTCCTATTCTGCGCTCTGGAAAGATCGCTCGGTCCGAAAACGTTTGATCCTAGCTTTCATCTTGAACATTGGTCAACAACTTACCGGCCAAGGAACACTGAATACATACAGTACTGCGATTTATAAAAAGGTTTTCCCTGATGCTAGCACGATTGCGTTGATTAATGCGTTGAATGCTACTTTTGGTATTCTCTTCACCCTGAATGCTGTGTGGACTGTTGATCGCTTTGGACGTAAATTCCTTCTTATTGTGGGTGCGATCGGTATGTCGCTTTGTATGTTGATCGTCTCGCTCGTGGGCACCCTAACTCCAAATACTGGCGCCCATGGAGATTCAAAGTCGCATCCTGTTGCCATCTCGATTGTTTTCCTATTGTTCTTCTTTATCCTGTTCTACAAACCCAGTTGGGGTGCTACGGTGTGGATTTGGACCGCAGAGGTTTTCAGTATGAATGTTAGAGCCCAGGCGGTGGGTATGTCGAGTCAGATGCAGAAGTAAGTTATGAGTTCTCTTATTATATTTACTCTCGAGATGATCATATAAAATACTAATATCACACAGCGTGGCAAACTCCATTTTCCAACAATTTTTCCCAACCTTCTTGAAAAACCAAGGCTTGTGCGTACCCTCCCCTCCCTCTCCTTTTCCCAAATAATTAACCCCTCCCCCACAGTAAAACTTTCTACTTCTTCTTCAGCATCAACATCTTCCTCGCGCTGTACGTCTGGTTCCTAGTCCCCGAAACGAAAAAAGTATCGCTTGAAGAAATCGACGTGTTATTCGGTGGTTCCAACCACGTGGAGAAAGGTGGTAACATGCTGCACGTACATGATGCGCATCATGCCTCGCTAGACGATAATGTGGCGACAGGAGGTGCGGTGGAGATGGGAGGTGTGAGTAAGATGGGAGAGATA